GGAATAAGTTGTTGAGTGAGTAGTATGGGGCGGAGGTATGTAACGCTTTGTGTGAACATTCATGTTTTATTAACCAATTAATCACTAATGTGTGTCGTAAGCGAAAGCCGTCTCGTCTTATCGTATTCTATCTCATAGCTCATCCTTCATATCTTGCAATTTCAGTGAGAAGCTTTGAGCTTCTTGAGGTAAGTGGGACACTGCGAATGCGTCCTTGGACAAAGCAATGAAGAATGAGAGATGTGAAATCTCAATGAGCCACTTGTCAGAGAGCTAGATGTATATGGAACATGTGCACGACGATTAGAAGGTAGTAACCAACCATGCATATTTGTGGGTAGGCAGGCACTTAGGCAGAGAGATGATTGACAGACTTAACAGAAGGTAAGTGGTTAGATGTAAAGAAATTACAAGGAGATTGGGTGAAGGAAGAGTAATGTGGAGAATAGAAGAAATGAATGAAGAAGATACGATTGATTTGTGGATAGGTTTATAAGTAAAATGGTAGTTAGACAAATAGCGGCTAGGTTGCACCGAGGGAGGTTGAGAGGTGAAAGAAGAAGTGAATAAAGAGGACTGTAACACAGAACAGTAGGAGGAGCAATATAGGTGCGCAAATGATTGAATAGACCATCAGATGAATCTGAAAGGAGGTAGAAGGTAGGCCAAATCAGGTGATGGAGGGATTGCCAAAGAAGGGGTGAATACTATGACCAACGAACAAGTGTATTGATGGACAAACGCAAATGGGACGGAAAGGAAACCTTTGACAGAGGCATCTCTAATTGCATGTAAAGATGGAGACACGGGCACGTTGAGATGCTGATACTAAAGTAGTGTGGGTGGATGATATGGGCATGCGTGAAGAGGTGAGTAGATACGTGATTAATCGCTGAGTGTCCACCATGAAGGATTAATAACCAACTTGGTAAAAGCAAAGAGCACGTGTGTGTTCAGCGTGTGAAAAAAAGAGATGGGTGGTGGGAAGGAATGGAAGAAGAAGCTTCTTGTATCCTAGCCATATGGACCGTTGATTTCCTCATTTCATTTGATGTTGGATGCATTCATGTATTCTTTTATAGGTGGATTATTTGTTGTTTACTTATTTCGTTGACCTATAAATTTTAATAAACGATTGACCACATAAAATGTTCCAGTGGCACACGAGGTGCGCAGGGATGAGCATTGGGGAAAAGGAGGAAGCAATGAAATACAGATATGTAATTACATAGATTTAGGTTGGGAACCCTACATAGATTAAGAGATGGATTGACTGCCTCCCAGTTATGTTTATGATCAGAGGAACGGTGAGACAATTAAATGTATGCATCCACGCCAGACCAAGGTACATGCACATCGAAGCGCATGCCCAACTGCAGTGACCGGACTGGCTACAGAAATGAATGACTGGCGAAGTGGTGGACGCAATGCACCACCGAGGCATCAATGAAAGCCGACATTATATGGGTAAATAGCTTCATAAATAAAAGAAATGAAGGCATAGATGTCGGGTTTACTAAACC